TATCGACTAATTAGTAATTATTTAATTATTTATTCAAATTAGGTAGTAGTTATCTTTATTTAAAATTAGGATATCTATTAGTATCTTTTAATTTATGATAGGATTATCTAGTAACACTTATATATAGGTTTTCGATATGTCTTTTTGATTATTGATGGAATAAGAATTATATAGTTTTAGTTTGTTTTGGAAGAACCACTGTGTATGTATCTCGAATAACAAGTCTTATCAGTCATGGAAATATCATCTTGGCCCGAAAAGAATCCAACTCACATGTAACTCTATGGTAAGCATTGTCTTCTTCAATTGTAAAGTCTATAATGTTGAATTAGTGAAGATAAATTAATTGATATTTTTAATTATAAATAATTTTTGAAATTGGATATGCTAATATTTTTTAAAATCTTATTGAAAAATTACGCATAAAAGTATAAGCTAAACAATTTTTTATTTTTTATATTTTTGAAAGGGAACTTATCTAACAAGGGTTTCCGTGCCATTAATTTTGCAATCATTTCTAAAAAGTATATCAAAAACCCTTAAATATGTTATGATCTAGATTTTGATCTTAAGATACTACAATCTTAGCATCCTACAACGAAAATTGATATCGATCACATTAAGATTTATATGAATCAAGATTTATTTTAGGATATTAATATTTAACTCAATATCAACTTACATATTTACTTTTTTGTTGTATATATAGTCAGAGTCTCAAACATTCGTACTTCAATTTGAGTTTAGCATCTCAGGTTGCAAAAAGTATTGACGTTGTCATCACCATTTCATCTAATAATAAAAAAGTATTGATGTTGCAAAAAGTATAGATGTTATCATCATCACTTCATCCAATAATCATGAATTCCACAAAACATCATAACACTTATGTTATTATCATTGCGATGTTATGCCTTTTGTTGTAGATGGTCACAGTGATCTTGTTTTTTTCTCAAGATTTCTTATTTCTAGTTTTTGTGGTTTGCAAGACTAAGAATTATGATTATTGCTTAATAAGTTAATTATGAATATCTTAATTAACATCAAGTATAATAAGAGTGTAGCGTCCGATTCCTGCTACGTAATTTAAATATACATTTTTGCACAATTATTCTGGGACTCGGCGAGTTGGAGGCCCCAACTCGTCGAGTAGAGGTTAAAATTGGACGCGGGAAGAAGAACCTACTCGACAAGTCGGATGCCCTAACTCGACGAGTAGGCTTGCCTGGATGAAACCCTAATTTAAGGGTTTGCACCCTATTTAAACACCTTAACTCTCCAGTTGTAGCCTCCCTCGTCTTCTCCATGTGTCCAGAAAGCCCTAAATCGAAACCCTAACCTTGTTTGAGTGTTCTTGAGCCATTTTTATGTGTTTGTGGTGGTTGTGCAACTTGAGAAAAGAGAAGGTGCTTGGGAGTTCAAGTGGAAGCTAGTAGATCCAGATATTGTGTCCTGTTTCCAGCTCATTTGAGGTAAAATTCTTCAACCTTGACCATTTATCTCTTAGATCTCTAGTTAGGGTTCATTTCTACATTTTCTAAACTTTTATAGAGCTACATTCGAGATTGTGTTGTTCTAAGAGGGTATGACTTCAGATCTGGAACCACTGAGGGTTCTTATGGCATAAATATGTCAACTTTATTGCCATAAGCACCCCATGCATCCTGTAGATTCCATTTTAGAGGCATTTGGGCCAAATACCCCATGCATGGACATCAAGTTTGGGACTTTACGTGTATTATGGACCCTAGGAGGTGAAATCTCTGTTTTGGATGCATTAAGACCAACTGAAATCGAGTGTATAGTTTTGGACATAGAAGGACTCGGCGAGTCACTCATGTGACTCGGCGAGTCAAGTCGCATTTCCCACCAAATCTCTTCTAATAATGGACCATGTGTTAAGTTAGAAGAACACTCATTCGGTTCCTGGAAATCATGGGACTCAACGAATGTATGAAATAACTCGGCGAGTTCCAAGCTATGTCCCAAGAATATGAAGATGGACTCGGCGAGTCATGGAAGAACTAGATGAGTCCAGCACTAAGAGCATCACCTTGCATGAAGATGAACTCGACGAGTTCATGAGGAACTCGATGAGTCATGGACTAAACGTCCCAACTAGCATGAAGATGGGCTGAGCGAGTCAAGGAATGAACTCGTCGAGTCACTTGCAAAGGTCCCGACTCTATATCAGGGAACATGACGAGTTGGTTGACCAACTCGGCTAGTTGACCGAAAGTTGACTTTGACTTTGACCTAAGTTGACCATGAAATGGTAACTAAGGAGGATGATTATGTGTAAGATTTGAGAGGAGTTGATCCCGACAGCGAGGACAGATTCGACACTCAGCTTTACGATGTGAGTTACCTTTTAGTAAAAGTGGGTCGAAGGCACCAAGGCTGACCCACTAGTAAGATTTATAGTAGAGATAATTATATTTGTGATAATTATCTGGCATATTGCTACCTGTTATGATTACGTGCTAGTATGTTATGATGTTATGTGATATGTGATAGGAGGGGTAGGTTAGACCCCATTACCGGTCGAAAGGACCGAAGGGGTGGTTAGTACCCAGTTATGTTAGACAGTTTATGGCATATGTGTTATGATATTATGTGGTAGTGGTAGGGGTGAAATAGTCCCCGGATATTGGTCGAAAGGATCGAAGGGGAAGCTTTATGTTTGCAGCGGGGGATTAGTCGGTGCGCGAAAGCTAGCCTGGAAACCCTGGTGACTTGGTAAGGCATGTGGAAGATATGGTGGATAACCTATTGACCCATGTTCAAATCCTGGCACCACTAAGCCCTTGTGGCCATGGAGGTTCGCCTGCAGTGACTCCAGGGCATGAGGCAAAGCTTTATGTTTACAGCGGGGGATTAGTCGGTGCGCGAAAGCTGGCCCGGAAACCCTCGTTAGGGAAGTTCCCTTTCCAAAAAAAAAGGATCGAAGGGGAGGCCTGCACCCTGATATGCTAGGCAAGGTACCGGTCGACAGGACCGAAGGAGGGGGGCATCACCCTGATATGTTAGGCAAGGTATCGACCGACAGGACCGAAGGGGTGGTTAGTATCCAGTTATGTTATGCATTATGTGTTATGTATGGTATGTGGTGTGAAAGGGGAACTCACTAAGCTTTGTGCTTGCAGTTTTCGGTTTTGTTTTTAGGTACTTCTTTGTCAAAGGGGAAGAAACCGACACGGTAGCAGTGCATCACACACACATTATTTCCGCACTATGATGTTCTTGGGATTGTACTATGATGATATTTTGTCCTTATGATATGATTTGAGACATGTGATTGTGGTTTTGATGAATGATGTGATTTGACTATGTTTTTCTTATAAACGGTTTTTTAAATTGTTGTATCAAAAATGAAATTTTTTGTTTTGAAAATTGGGATGTTACAAAGTGTTGCAGAAATAAGACATTGCAACTAAATTTAAATAGTGGTTAATATTTTGTAGGATAACCATACTAATTATGATCTTCCAAAATATGAAATAAATCTAAACAATATCTCAATTTTAACAACATAGATATTGAGCATAAATTTAATATAGTTGTGAAACTCGTATACTATACGAGCTGAAATCTAAAATAAATGAAAATTATGAGGAAAAAACATGCTAAATTAAAATTATATGTTTTGTTATCAAACTTGTATACTAAACGAGTTAATTATAACAATATGTTAAATATAAATGTTTAAACTGTAAATTTATTTGAAATTGAAATTTCAAATTGTAAATTAATAATCATTATTGTAAATTTAATATATGGAAACTAAATTAATCATATATTAGAAATGAAAAATAAAATAAATGACAAGTTAAAAATAAATATATCTCAAAATTATAACTAAATTATTAATTAAATAAAGAAAATGAAATATGATAAAACAATTTTTATTTTTATTTATTAGAATAGATGTACATATAAAATAATAGAATTATCCGAACATAATGTGTAAGAGAACATTTTATGGAATATACTTTTGTGGAATTCTGTCCATTTTGTGATATATTGAGTCGTCGTCTAATAAAACCTAACGTATCGTTTCCGACTTCCGTACCCTTCCTTTCTATCTTTCTCCCGTCTTAATATAAAACAAAAATAAGAAAACCGACAAAAAAAATAAAATTTGCCCTCGTCTTCACAGGCACTTCGCCTCCATTTCTTGATAAATTACGAAGAACTCTGCCCCAAATATTGGTTTCTCAAGGTAAATTTACGGTGTTTTCTTTTGAATATCGATTATTGTTGCTGGTTGTTTGACCAAGATTTGTTGGATTTTGTAACTCCAATTATTAAATTAATTGTCTTGCAATTGGGAACATGAGTTCTCGATTTTGATTCAAGAATATGGAAACCTGGTTTGTTTGGACCAATTTAGCATTTGGCTGATTGATTATCGTGTAATTTTTATGGGGTTTGTAGCATGATTTGAAATCTTGATGCTTTGTGATGATAGCAATTGTGTAATCTGGACTCATAAACACCAACAGAAAGAAAGATTTGGGTGTGCTGATTGTAAATCCTACTCAAGCTTTTACAACGATCTTAGTTTCATTGTGTCAAAGGTTTACTTTTTAGGATTTTCGAATCGGCTTCTCAATCTATATCTACTCATACATTATAATACATTAGCAAACACCTTTACTTTGTTCTTTATGTCGTAAATGTTTGATCCAATGCCCAATTCGATTCACTCTAGACTCCAGTATTTAAAGTTTGTTCAAAATATATACCAGAAGACCAATTTGAATCAAAAGACTTGTATTATTCTTAGAATGCTTACAATGAGAGAAAACCACACAAGGAGGTCATCCTTGGATACAAAGGGCCAAGACCAAATTTGAATCAAATTAAGCATAATGATTTGAAGAACAAGTTAAGTATAGCTAGATAATTTGACACTTTCTTCTTACCTGATTGAAGGGTTTTGTTTCTTTTGAATATTGTTTGCAGGTTGCAAGATCATTCATTGACTCCAAATAATAATGTCAGTTCTCATTGAAGGTCTCCCTGATGCTGTTGCTATACGATGTCTTGCGCGGGTCCCATACCACCTGTTTCCAAAACTAGAAACCATTTGTCATTCATGGAGGGATGCGGTTCGAAGCAATGAACTATTCAAAGCCCGTGAAGAAGTCAACTCAACCGAAGACTTTTTATGCGTCTGCGCGTTTGACCCCGAAAACGTATGGCAGCTCTACGATCCAAATCGTGTCATTTGGATCACTCTCCCAATCCTTCCTTCAAAAGTCAGAAACTTGGCCCATTTCGGGGTTGTTTCAACCGCCGGAAAACTGTTCGTTCTTGGTGGTGGCAGTGACGCCGTTGACCCGTTGACCGGCGATCAAGACGGTAGCTTTGCCACCAACGAGGTGTGGGCGTACGACCCGGTCCTCCGGCGGTGGGCCCCACGTGCCGCCATGATTGTCCCACGGGTGATGTTCGCGTGTTGTGTTGTCAGTGGGAAGATAGTGGTGGCTGGTGGTTTCACCACCTGCCGGAAATCGATCGCGAAGGCGGAGGTTTATGACCCGGAGAAGGATGTTTGGGTTTCCATCCCGGATCTTCACCACACCCATAACTCGGCGTGTTCCGGGGTGGTGATTGGGGGTGAGGTTCATGTGGTGCACAAGGGCTTGACCACGGTTCAGGTTTTGAAGAAGGAAGGGTGGCGGGTTCATGAGCATTCATGGGTGCATGGTCCGATGACTGTGGTTAAGGGGTCGTTGTATGTGATGAGTCATGGGGTTATTTACAAACAAGAGGGGGAATCAAGGAAAGCGGTGACTTCGGCTTCGGAATTCAAGAGGAGAATCGGATGTGCTATGATGGGATTCCGGGATGATATTTATGTGATTGGAGGTGTAATTGGACCCGAGGGATGGAATTGGGATATTAAGAAAATGTCGGATGTTGATGTTTTGACATTGGGGAGTGAGAGGCCCGTGTGGCAGAAGGCGCCTCCTATGACTCGGTGTCGGGGAATGATTCTCGGGTGTGCGGAGTTGAGAATTTAGGTGTTGTTTGGCTCTCGGTTGTGTCTTTTCTTTTGTTATGAACTAAAACTGAAAATAGCATCGTTGTATACAGTATATATGTTTTCCCTGATCAAAATATATCTAGATCCAAATACAATAATTACAGCATATCAAAGACTTGTATGTTTTTTTTGACATAAATGCCCCTCATGATCGGACATAGTTTTAGAATCTTTATCTGGTTTTGTCTGTATTTACATACGTTTTGTAAGAGGGCATGTTGTTCGTTTTGTGTCGTACTCCCAAATGGAGATTTGACTTTGGAGCTTCATGGTGCATCAAAGTCAAATCCAAGACAAAACGTCTCTTGAATGGTCAAAATAAAGATGGTTATCAATTGAAGGACTTTTTATGTCTTCAGTTGGGGTCATGTTGACAGATTTCCGTATATATTGATCTGACAGTAGTTTGCTGCTGACTCTAGTAGTTTGTTGGTTTTGTATATATATATATATATATATATATATATATATATATATATATATATATATATATATATATATATATATATATATATATATCAGACAACGAAAGGATATATATCAGCACGACCCAAGGACGATAATTTGGTTATTTCCTTTCGTTGTCTGATTCTTGAACAAACATATTTGTTGTTGTTTGTGTAACGAAGCATCATTGGGTAACTTTAAACTATTGATGTCTAAAAGAAACGGCATGTGTGTTGTTATTAGAGTAATACAAATTTAAGTGTGCTGCTATTAAGGGTCATTTTTAAAAAGACATTGTAATTTTGTTAAAAATTGTAAATTTCATTGCTAAATGGCATAACTTACCCTTCAGTTTTTAAACAACATTGCACATTGCCCCTTACAAATACACATAAGCATGAAGAATGTGCATGTATTTATGTGGCCGTGTGTTTGTTTCACCCCTATCTTGATAGTTTTACAATAAAGGCATATTCTTAAAATAGAAAAATGAAAGTACAATTCTATAACTTGCTAGCACTCTCATTTTACAATGCCTTAAAAAGAAAAACCTATCAAAAAAATCAAAGTTAAAATGAAAGTAGATTGTTGTGTTGGAAAATTGATTGTTTGAGCATGCCATGCATCATGTTGACCATCCATGAGTTACTTATAGAAATTGTAGGAAAAATTAATGAGGAATAAACTTGTAAAAAGTCAAGATTTATTCAACAGAAGTTGTGATCATTCCTTCTTTGTTGCATATTTTTTACCCTAATTATAATCTAAGGTTAGGTGCATTTAACTAATTCATCACTACCTATATAAAAATCATCACATGTTGAAGATGCAATTTAATGTCTGCTACAAAAGATCTTGAATGAATAGTTCGATAATTAGTTTAACATCTCTTTCACTCTTTCTAACCAGGTCAACAACACCATGTAAGTCAAATATTAATGTAAAAAATGAATTACAATGTATAAAATTACCCTTGAAACAAGGAAATCCCAGTTGGACTGGTATGACCAGATTGCACCCCCTTGAATTATGATTTTGAGTGTGATCTTCTTCTGAAAGCCTTATTACTTCCTCACAAATATGTGTTGCATTAGTTGTAGATGTTGGTGATCAAATATTAATATTCTCAACCAATAAGGTTATACACTTGAAATTCATATGCCAATGATGTATCTAAGCGACTAACAAATAAAAACATGAAATCTATGTTAAATTTTCACCATGATGAGCATGTCCCACCTTCATATTTACTAAATTTGCCAATATTAAAAACTAAAAAGAGGTAAGATATGATTCAGCGGGGGTATACTTGAAAAAGAGAACTATTTCTAAGCTTTATAAGTGTAATAAGCACTTTGTGTGTAATAGAACCTTCATCAGAACAACACCGCCCCTAATATTGCAAAAAATTGCCCCATTCGTATTAGAAAACAGAAAATAAATTATAAACAACAAAGTAAATAATATTTTTAGGGTTGACAAGTTATCATGGCGTGTGTTACCACACACCTCCAATGCTGCTTCAAACAACTGCAGATGTCTTTGCCATGCTTTATTAGTTGAGATTAACCCAAAAAATGTACATATAGCTATATTGTGTTCAAAAGATTATAAATTTTATGCACGTGGTTGTTTTCTCTGACTCTTAACGATTTAGGTTTTTGTGATTACTAATAAAAAAGATACACGTAAATTTGACAGCAAACTTAAACGTCATATGTTGGAAAAAAGTTACGAATTTTAATGTAAAATTACAGCAAATTAGGCATATAATTGACGATTCAGACAAAATTTTAGAAAGAATTTGACCACATGTATTCTAAACTAATAGTTTATTGTCATGTTGGGATAAAGAAAAACTCAATTTACTTACTAATTTTGGCTCTCTGACCACTTAGTTATATTTGAATCTCCACTTTGAAAATCCACTAACCACAAATCTACATTTGGCGCGAAGCACAGGTACTCAAACATAATCAGTTTTTATTATAAAAAGCTACTACGAATTTAATTTTCACAATAACATAATTTGAAATACAAAAATTGGTATTCGCTCCTCCTAAATTTGTCATTTGTGCAATACTGGTGTTGAATTAGAATTCCACCTGTTATCATAATGTACAATCTCGAAGGAAATTTGGATAAATGTTCAGAAAGGGTGGTATTTGTTTTGTCTTCTTTCGATTCTTGTTAGTTCTACTTCATTATAGAGACTTCATTCCAAATCCAAATGTCAAAAGCTTGGCCCACATACAGGAAAATGCATACATTACATTACATCCCAAATCACATAGGTTTATTAAATGAAATTTAAGAACTGGGGAATTTGAAGTAAATCCAAAAAAATTAGTTGAGGGAGTGGTGTTCCGACCTGATATCTAAATGCAAAAAACGATCTTTGATCTTGGGGATAGGGTGGGGTATTTTGGGGCTTTGGGTGGTTGTCTTTGGTGTTGAGCCTATTGCAGTTAGCGTGTGTTTGGTGGGAGTTTCTATCATTTTGTGTTGTCTGCGGGGTGAGGGGTGGGGGTGCTAGTCCTGTACGTGTGTAATTTATATTTTCAGTGTTTTGGTTGATATTTAATCACCAGGTTCCAGACTGTGCCACATTATAGGTTATCTCTTGCGGGTTTTTCAAAGTTATATGCCGGTTTTTATGCTTTCAAGTCTCAACACACCAGTTTTGTCTTCATGAAGATCAACTTTCTGATTACTATTTTCATTTTGGAGTTTGCTTCCAACTTTGGAGTACATTTAAAGGTCCTGCCACTATTGAGTAACCCGGACCATTTTACCCTTGAAGACTGGAGGATAGTTAAAAATTCATGTTCACTACATCTTTTACCCTCGAAGATCAGAAATTAGAAGTCGTTAAAGTGAAGTTATAATGCTCACGATCAGCCTAGGATGCATCAATAGTTCAATGCTAAATTTTGAATTACAACATAAAGTAGATTGTTATTTCTACAAAACCAAAGATCAAACCTCAAGAACAAAAGACATGGAAAAGTTCAATCAGATCACATGGTGCTGCTATCAATGACTTGCTGCTGTTTTGTTGTTTTTTGTTCCTATAATTCATCCCCTCACAACCTAATTTTTCATTGTTTAATCCTAATAGGCTTGAGACATCATCCACCATGCCATTAGGCGGCTTTGTTGTATATATTCCTATTATTCCTTTTTTTTTTCTTATTCATTTCTATAATGTAATTGTCCTAGCTTCCTGCTGGTTTCTTTTATCTTATATTATATTTTTAGCCTTAAAAAAAACTTTCAAAGATCAAATAAAATACAGAATCCCCCAAAATCTAAACCCAACAATAAAAAAATGATGAATTATACAACAGTTATAGATTAAAACCCAAGGAATAAAACTACCTTTTCCACTCGTGAAAAGATTGAATTGGTTGAGAGTCTGTAAAGCAACATTCTTAAAATCTAAACTCTTCCATGACCTTGCTTAGCAAGGATTTTAGAAACTACACAAGAGGAAATGGTCTCAAAGAAAAAGAAATTTATGATTATATAATATATGGCATTTGTAATATAACGGATTAGTCAAATACATCCTTGAGTATGATCTAATAGACCGAATGGAAGGATAAATATATTGATGACTCTGAAATTAAACTTACAATGGGAAGTTGATCAGGTTTATTATCCAACAAAATTGCATGAAGAATTGTACTTATGGATGAATTAGGATGTAAGAGGAGCATACATAAAATTTCAGTGTAAATCATTTATATATGATGAAAAAAAATGTATTTTATGAGTAAATGAACTATTTACGACTCCTAGAAACAAGGAGCATAAACAAGATCCCAATTAGCCTTAATCTTGACAAAAGAAACCCTAAAGACTACCAAATTACTTAAAAATATTTAAAATTGTAATAACAATCAAAGAATGATCATTAATACATAAATAGAGATAGAGTGCCATTGATTATTAAAATGATGATTACCTGGATAATAGGTAAGAATCTAATTATTCTTCTTATCGGTTTAAGAATTAATGACTTAAATATGAAGTACCTATTAACAATATTGGTTATTGGTCTCGTTTGAAGAATTTGATACCAGTTTATTGTATCATCCTCCTGCATTTCATTAAGCGTTATTGGCCTGAAAAGGAAATCAAGTGAAGAATTTAAAGTCAAAATCACAAAACAAAATTGTCCTCCAAATCATGGAGTGACTTTCAGAGAGAGAGAGAGAGAGAGAGAGAGAGAGAGAGAGCATGATCGTACAGGTGAAGCATCAAGCATCTTGGAACCAAAATAGATTGAGATTAAAAAGAAAAGATGGTGGCTTGTTTTAAGAGAGATTACCAAGGAGAAGTCGATGACATAAGGGTTAAATAGCCTCCTAAAATACAAAATTCATGATTAGTAAATTTGGGAGTGGAAACATGGGAAGGAGGAGTCTGACTGATAGAGGCGACAGAATGTTGGGGTTGCCGATTGATCAAATATTGAGACGTAAATTCATGATTAGGGTTTGTGTTTTGTAGGGAGGAATTGAC